ATGCAATATATATATATATATTGGTGATAGTATGTGCCTGTGGTAATGATAGTCACCAGCGTCATGTTTAATTTAAATTGTTTAATTTAAGGCGTTGTTACAGTTTAACCACAACAGTTTCATTCAGCCTTTCAAGTCTTCTTGTTGAATACCTAGAGGGCCAAAAACCAACGGAATAGTGGTAGCCTGTGCCCCTGGGGAGTCACCACAGCTCCCTCACCTATGCCCCTACCATCCCTGAACAGAATCTCTTGGCTATATGTCTTCCCAGGGTGAGGAGCTCGCCTCTCAACATGAGCCCTTAAAGAAAGAGACTGGATTGCCCCAGATTGCCCCGGATTTGACTGTGGTCCAATTTATCAAAGGTAAGTGAGCCCAGGCAAAAATAGAGTGAGAAAACCAGAGGTGCCTTTGAGATTATACTAAACACAGTCCCTTAGTGCTTTTCTTTATTAGTTAATTTGCATCTATGGGTATCTCATGAGTCCAGGACACTCCTGGTAAGGTTGGTCATATACTCCTCTCTGCTGGGAACATCTTTTCTTACTAATGTCCATCACAGTCTTTCTTGTCCCTGTAGGTCATGTTCAAGAGCCCTTCTGCCCTCTGGATATGCCTCCCCTCACCCCCAGGAATGGGGCTACAAGCCTCCATCCTCTGGTCTCTCAGCATCCTTGGGGCTTATGACTCCGTTCTGCCTTGTCTTTGCCCATCCTCTGCCATAAGCAGTGGACTCCTGAAGGTCAAAGCTTGTGTCCTTCCCCTACTTTCCTCTGAGCCTGCAAGCAGGAAGCCTTGAGTAAATGTTCATTAAATCTCCAGACTTCAGCATGGGTAGAAAGCCGGGGACCTGCTTTCTTGATTCTTTGTCCTTGCTTCTCTGTGGGCTTCCGTCTTCCAGGACAATCTCTCAGTACAGTAGGAAATAGACTCGCTGACAGGAACTTCATGCTACCCTGATCCTGACACAAGAAAATCAATCACTCAGTTACCAGAGCCCACAGTGGGGCCAGGCAGCATTTGCTAAAGAACTCAATCCTGTGGACGTTGATTGAGTGCCTGCTGTGTGCCAGGCAAGTCAAGAGGCCCTGATGTAAGGGCCTGTCAGGCACTGGTCAGTGGAGAGTCTCCTGAAGTTTCTTTTTTCTGTCTCTGATCTGAGTTTCTTCACATAAAGATTGGATTGGACATATTTGCTTTACCTTTCTAAAAGGATTGGTGTGACCGTCAAGTAGGAGGAAACCTGGGCAGACAGCTCTGTCTACTATTTAAAAAAACAACAACAACAACAACCTGCCTGTGTAAGGTATGGTCTGTCCATGAGCACACCTACCTTGCTGTTCTTATCCATCCCTGAACAGAAAGTGGATCTATTATTAGGAAGGTATTGTTTATCCAAAGAGATCCTTCACCTTTCCCCGCAAAGACGTTTGAAGTAGGAGAGAATTTGAGAATTCTTTGCCAATTTTCTAAGATTTGATGTTGGGTTATTGGAGAAGGGAATGTCTGAATTCCATGGGACTGGGTCTAGAGGCAGCGGCCTGCACTGCAGATCTCAGTCACCCCCAACTCTGGAAGGCTCAGCACACTATACCATGGAAGACTATGTTAATCACTGCTCTGCCTCCTGCCCAGAGAGCAGCTGCAGCTGGTTGTGCAATTAAATCCTAGAGCGAGAGATCTGGACCAGTTCATCTCTGATTGTTCAGCTTCTAGAGGAACTGGAGACGGAGCTATCCATAGACCCTGTGGCTAGTTAGCCAACTTGGCCTCTGGACAGCAAAGATCTACAAAGGCCATTCTGACTCCAGGGCCTGGCTTTGACTACCTGCAATCAGGAAGGCGGCAGGAGGAGGAGAAACTCTTAGAGGAGACAGTCCCTGGCTGGGGAAGATACCTGATGGGAGAGACCCGTTCTCTTACAGTCTGCACATGGAGGGGAAAGCTGTCTGATGGAAGAGACCTGGCCAGGATGCCAGAAGAGGGCTTTGTCTGATGGGAGCCACATGGTCCAGGAGTTAGAGGGGGCTTTTGGCTTGAGGGAGGAAACAGTACTAATGTGAAGGCACACTCGTTCTGTTTAAGGCCGGTGCCTGGCCTCTGAGCTGGGCAAGGCTAACGAGGGAGACAAGACGGTCCCTGAGTTGAGGGAGGTCCTATCATGTCTGCTGTGGAGACCTTGTGCTGAGGGAAGCCCTCTCAAGAGGAGGCTGAGCATCTGAGCAGGAGACAGGCCCTGGAATTCCCCTTCAGGTAGCTAAGGAAAAGGCATGGCCCTGCCCTCCAGGAATTTTCCATTCCTTGTGGAGAAGGCTGTGTGCTGTGGAGAGGTGGGGGATGGGCGTATAGTCCGCTGTGTTGATGAGTACAGAGGAATGAGCAGGATGGAGGAGTCCTCCAGAGCCAGGCTGACAGGAAGGACAGGAACAGAGCGGGAGGGGGAGAAGGAAGAGTGGGTCTGTGCTAGAAGTGAAGAGAGCCGGTGCCCTGGCATCTCTGGATGAGCTGAGTGTGCCCCTGCCTCTCTCTGGGGCCCACCTTGCAGGGAAGGCAATTGATATAAACCTCTCTCAGTTCACAGGAAACTTCAGATGTTCTGGGCAACTCATGGAAAGAGGGAGGAAAAGCAGGAGGAGAGAGAGAGAGAAGAGGGGAGGGACAGAGGGAAGGGGCTGCAGCAGCTACCTGGAGTGAGATTGCCTACCGGCCTACCCCACTCTAAATGCTAGCTGAACACACCATTTGTAGGCAGAAGACTAGGGACTTGAACTGGACGCATTCCACAGTGTTAGCCCCTGTTCAAACCTCCTGGCCGGACTTTATTTTCTGGTTCTGAAGGAAATAGGCCCAGGCCATGAGGATAGGGACCAAGCTACTTTGACTATGCTCTGAGGACAGCTAGAACATGCCTCCTATAACACAGAGACAAAGGTTCTGGTTGGACAGGAGTAGAATGACCTCTATGGCTTTGTCTCTCCTCACCAGCACACCCTGGTTTCTCTTCCCCTCTTCCCCATACCTTATGTTTAATAGTGGAGACCCTATGCATCGGAACAGAAAGTGTCCTTGGACATCCCTGAGAATCCCTACTCACCAGGACACTGAACCCAGGAGGGACAGGACCTACCTGCCATTCTGAACTCGAAGGTTTAGCCCTTTCAGGGAGGGTGGCTGAATGAGACAATGAGGCAGGAAGCAGGAGCTGCCCAGAGCCTGGGGAGGTCCCCAGTGCCAGTCTTCAGGCTGGGGTCCTGGCCATGCCCCCACTGGACATTCCTCTCCAAGTCCCCTCATTATCTAGGTCCTATCTCTTAGCATGATTAATAAAAAACCAGAGACAGAGATTGGGGTTCAATCTGAAGGTCAGAAAAGCAAAGCAGCCAGCCACTGACTCTTACCTTTGCTTCAGTCAGAAATGGTGATCCTGCCTCCAGGAATCTCAGAATGAGACTGTGTGTGTGGGGGCTGTCTCCTCCCATTTTATATTCCTTTCTAGGGCTGGGATTAAAAGCATGTACCACTGGGATTAAAGGCATGCACTGCCCAATTTCTATGGCAAACTAGTGTGGCTACTGGGATTAAAGGTGTGTGTCACCACTTCCTGGTCTGTAAGGCTGACCAGTGGGGCTCTTTTACTCTCTGATCTTCAGGCAAGATTTATTTATTAAAATACAAATGAAACATCACTATATAACTCTCTGTTCTACATTCAGGAAGCCTCCTGGCCCAAGGCTGCCAAGGGTTCATTTTCTCTAGAGACCTGAGATTCTGCCTTAGGCATTTGGACATTTGATCTGGTCCTCACTCATTAAACAATATTTACAAAATGGCTAACATGTCCTGGCTCTAGAGATAAAGCAGTTCATACCATTAAAATTACTGCTCTGAAATAAAATGGGGGCGAGGTGGCAGTGGGTGAAGTGTGTAATTCGTTCAGTGCTCTCGGGAAAGGGACAAGCTGTGGTGTATCAGGGCAGCAGTGGCCCCTGGGTTGAGGACCACGAAGGGAGGACTCAAGCCCAGGTTGTCACAGAACGAGCAGGACAAGATGGATTGTGGGGGAGAATAATTCAGTAGAGACGGGAAAGAGTCTGCAATGAGACGGGAGTGGATGACCTGGACTCAAATGAGAGGGAATGAGATAGAACTGTATCGAACCCCGACGGAACTGAGCAGAAATAAGCGCGTTAAATAAACTCCCACGTAACTCAATGAACTGGAAGACACGAGGAGAATTTCAAAGCAGGAAGCAGGATGGAAGGGAACCACATGTAACAGGATAGGCTGGGACGCACTAGGCGGAAATGGAAGGGATGGATAGGAACGGTAGGGTCGGGGTGAGCAGACGTCGGTGGCGTGGCCGACTGCGCATGCTCACCTCCTTCCCGCTTGTCCCAACAGTCTTCCCCAGGGTGCTGCTGAGGATGCTGCGCCACCCCATCTTCTTGCTGGTCGTCCTGTCCCAGGTGTGCATCTCATCCATGGTGGCAGGCATGGCCACCTTCCTGCCTAAGTTCCTGGAGCGGCAGTTTTCCGTCACAGCCTCCTTTGCCAACCTGCTCCTTGGCACCCTCGCTATCCCCTTGGCCATTGTGGGCATCGTGCTAGGAGGTGTCTTAGTCAAGCGGCTCCATCTGAACCCCATGCAGTGCAGCGTCCTCTGCCTGCTGGGGTCGCTGTTGTGCATTGTGCTCAGCTTGCCACTCTTCTTCATCGGCTGCTCTACTCATCAGATTGCAGGCATCACCCAGAACCTGGGGTGAGTAAGCATATTCAAGATGCATGGGACGGGTAGGTCAGTGAGCTACCTACCTCTCTCCCCTCCCCTGGGGGCTGCCTCCTCCCAGTGCCTACAAATCTCTATGATGTCCCTCCTTAGTCTCAGGTACGAGCAAGCAGTGGTCACCGGATGGCACCAAATGCCATAGAAGAGGCATTGATGGACAGAACGAACATTGGGGGCAAGACAACTGAGGCCTGAGAAGGGCCAGGGGTTGAGTCAGGGTGCAGCCACCTGTGGGCCAGCAGACGTGGGACAGAAACCACACATAGGAGGCAGGACGACCCAGCATAGCTTGAGGGAAGCTTTTGCTCCCAGTCAAAGTTATAGCTGCCCCAAAACGACATGCCCTATGACTTGGAGAAAGGGGGTGAGCAGGGAGCTGGGCAGTCCTTCTCAAGGAGGCAGAAGAGGTTAAGAAACTCTGTCTTTTCCTACAATGATCTCATTTTCCCTGGAAGCTGTTGTAAGCTTAGTTTGGCCCAGCATCCAGCTAGAATTCCCCAGTCCTTCTTGGCACAACCTCCTTTACTCAAATGCCAGGTTCCCTCACCTGGGCTCCACCCTTATCGCTTGGCCCCCTTCCTTCTCCTTCTCCTCTCCTTTTCCCAAACAGCCAGGCTGTCTGGAGTAGGGCCTTCCATATGCAGAGTGCACCCTAGGCCCTGCAGCCGGGAGCTCAGGAAGCCCCAAGTCTAGCAAGGACCAGGTTCTCCCAATGACGTTTCGAGTGAAAAATGAATGGATATTTTACCATCATTTTTTATGATTCATTGGGGAAAGCAATAGCACAAGGATAGAACCCATGATAGAGAGCTCATGGGGACCCAATGAAACATACAAGGGAAGCCTTGAGCCTGCTGGGTTTGTAAGAAACCTTGGCTCTGGGCAGAGGTCCATGGTGCTAAGTTGTTCAGCTCACTCAATTGGTCTCAGACAGTGCTGCCTGCCTGTGTTTCCTTCCTTCTTTCCTTCCTTCCTTCCTTCCTTCCTTCCTTCCTTCCTTCCTTCCTTCCTTCCTTCCTTCCTCCTCCTCTTCCTCAGCTCTGCCATGGCATCTCACTCCTATTCTCACCAAAGTTCTTACAAGTTAATTCATGGGTCTGGGTTCTAATTCACTGAAGCTCTTGGAGGCCAATCGAGTTTCCGTCTCGTGTTCCATTGAGTCCCCATGTGATCTCTATCATGGGTTCCATCATTATACCCATGTATCACGGATGATACAGCATCACCTGGCAAGAGTGCTGTGTTTCCTTCTAGCATGATGCCAGGTCAGCTATACCCCAAAGCCATCCTCTTGCCCCCACCCCAGGGTGATCACCCCCTCCAACTCAGCCTCTCTTTGGGCTCCTGCTCCTGCTCACCCTCCCATTTCTCCTGCTAGGGAGAGAGTATCTCTAGTCCGGTGGGGGCGCTTGACACAGGGAGCAGGGACAGGAGAATGAACACAGAGGTTGTGAGAATTCAGGAGGGTGTCAGTGAGAAGAGAACCCCAGCCCAGCTGTTAGAGAAATTAAGGTCCCAGGGGAAAGCCAGGCACAGGTTGGAGGCCCCACAGCTGGGTGGTCTGCTTGCTGGAGCCCCGTCACAGCTATACCTTGCTGAGACAAGGCAGCGATTCAGCTCATAGAGAGACACACTTCTGGGAGGAATTTCTGTTGTGTTCCATCCAAACACAGGGATACTGGCTGGAGCTTCCAGACATGTGGAATCCAGGGTTGGAAGGATGCGCTGCAGACTCTGGCCCAGACTTTTCACTCCCCCGATTAGAAAGTCCCCCGAATTTCAGTGTTTCTCCCTCAGGGAAAAAGCTGCAGCTGAAATCTCTGGCCACTGCTCTCAGAGTAGGAGCCAGGCTGCAAAGAGGGCCCCTAGAGAAGAGAGCCCAGCCAAACACATTTGCCTTCTCTCTGTCTAGTGCCCAGACAGAGCCAAGACTGTTTCCTGGCTGTGCAGAACCCTGTTCCTGCCAATCGGATGACTTTAACCCTGTTTGCGACACCAGTGCCCACGTGGAATACATCACACCCTGCCATGCGGGATGCACCGGTCATGTGGTCCAGGAGGCTCTGGGCAAAAGCCAGGTGAGACCAACCTCCCACACAACCTCTGCCTCCAGGCCCCTTCCCCTCCTGGTCTGTGCTACCTATCACTCTGCCCTCTGTCACTGCCTTGTTCCTTGTTTGGCTGGTGCAGAACATCATTCTCTCAGTAACTGTCATTGCCAGCCAGGACCCAGAGGGGAGCCACAGCTGACTCCCAGCTGTGTGTCTGCTCAAAGAAATGACCCACGTGGACTTCAGGCTGCAGGAGGGCAGACGTGGTCCCTACTGGCACATACAAGAGTAAAGGGGTCACAGCCCACTTGGGAGGGTCCCAGAGAGCCCCAAAAGAAGCAGAATGTATAACTGATCTTCCAAGGTCATTAGACAAGCAAGGACTTGGGATGGGAGGACTTTCTAGGCAGGAACAATAGCACAGGAAGAGATTTAAAGAACACACACTGTGTATGAGCTTCCTGGACCCCAGGCCCTGCACGAAAGGCTTACCTTGGTGAGCTCACTAACAAGGAAGCAAAGAGCCACAGTGCCTAAGAGACATTAAGCATTCATTTTTATTCTGCCCATTGTACAGATAGGAAATGAAGGCCTAGGGAAGTACCAGACAGTGCCCAGGGTCTTATACCAGAGTGGGACTAGAATCCAGGATTCTGGCCCCCAGTTCGCCCTGTACTGGATTCAGAGGTGAGGGTCTAGATGCACCACACAGAGGAAGGTCAGCACTCAGACAGCTTTCCAGCCAGGGATTATCTCCTGTCATGTGTACACGTGTACCTCCTTGTTGGGATCTGGGATCGGCTGGTCCAGCCGCGGTACATTCAGGTAGGTGACAGAGTGAGATGGGGAAGGTAGACACTGTCTGGACCTCAGGCTTATAAGGCAAAGTCATTCCTGTGGGAAAGACTGGAGACATCTGTGAGGACTTCCCACCATGGACATGGGTGCCTATGAGAAGCTTGGGGAAGAATCTAGAAAACAAAGTGTCTAACCTTGGTGTCCATCCCAGATGTCCTCCTAAGCAATGGAACAGTGGGGGCTACCATACCAGTCCCCTGCTTTGGCATGTTTCTCCCTTACCTGGCTCAAGGTGTCACCAGTCCTGTGGGTTACTCGGCATGTAACTGAAGCCCAAAGGCCACTTTTAAGTAATGCAAAGTGGTGAGGACTTAGAGTTCTGTTAGTACAGCCTGGTCACGCCTGTCACGCCTATCTGCATGGCAATAGGTAGAGATATCTTGGCTCGCCGGTGATCCGAGCCCCAGTGTCCTTCCCTCTGCCATTCCCCCCTCTCATCTTTCACTGACTACCTCCTAAAGACCTCCACCCTAAAATTCCTTCCCCATACACCTTGACAGTGGGACCGTCTGCTTGCTCATCCAGTCTGTCCCAAGAGCCACTGAGCTCAGATCCTTCCAAGGCCCCTAGATAACACTTTGGGTTTCTCAGCCCTTCCCAGACTGGGAATTAACCGAGGTTTCTGTAGTAAGAAGTAGGAGGCCTCCAGGACCACCTGTGAGAACCGATGGGGCCCAATTTCTGCACACCTGACTGGGGTCCATGGTAACTGTGGTCCATCTGTCAAGAAGGTCTGACCTGGTGCTACAAAGATAGCTCAATGGATAAAGGTGATTGCTCTTGCAGGGGACCTGAGCTCAGTTCCCAGCCATCTGTAAATTCCTCTCCAGAGAGTCTGACACCTTCTTCTGGTCTCCATGGGTATCTATACTCACACACACACACACGAACACATAGACACTCTGACCAATAGGACTCCATGGGTATCTACACTCACACACACACACACAAACAATCACATAGACCCTCTGACCAGTAGGAAAAAGAAAAAGAAGCCCCAGCCTTGCTCCTTACAGGCACCAAAGGGTCACTGGTGGCCAAACCACTTTCTAGTATATCTACCATTGGAAGTTCTACAGGCTGCCGCAGGGCTCACCTAGGGATAGTCTCTCTGCCTCACAGCTGTGGCCCAGGCTAAACACAGTCCGTCTGCCTCCAGGCACCTTGCTTGACTCAAGTGATCACAGATCAACCAGTCGTCAGAGTCAGGGACTCCAGCCAGCTCTGCCCTGCTGGCTGTAGACACTCAGGAGCAGAAGCATCCCAGTCCCCAGGCCCTTGGCCAGCTGCTGTCCTTGGAGGCTCCTGAAGGTCCGTCTCCTCATTCTCCCCCCTCCAGGTTTTCTACACCAACTGCAGCTGTGTGGAAGGAGGTGGCTCCGTGCCTGCAGGTTCCTGCGAGTCGGTGTGCGGCAACCTGGTGCTGCCCTTCATTCTCCTGACCAGCCTGGGAGCGATGGTGGCCAGCGTCACCCACACACCTTCCTTCATGCTCATTCTAAGGTGACAGCAGGGCCGGCAGGGTGGGGATCGGGACGCTTTCACCACAGCCAGCATGGGACAGTGGAGGGAAGAGTTGAAAGAATGAGGCCGCTCAAGTGTCCTAGCTCCTGGTGTCTTCATTCTCCTGCACCCTGAGGACATGAAGCTTTCTCTCCATCATGTAGACAAGGAGCCTGGGCTCAGAGAAGTTCAGAATCTGGGGCTCATTTTAAAGCCTAGATGTTTCTTTGCCCCGGAGTAGAAGTCTGTCACTGGCCTGGCCTCCCTCATGGGGGACACCCTTTGGGAAAGAAGAGGTGGATCTAACCTCTGGCAATGGATGGAACACAGTGGGATGTTTAGGAAACCAACAAAATCCCTGGGTGCTGGTCGTGCACACCCCTCAAGGCCCTGAGAATAAAGACCTACTGCGGTCCCGGGACGTTCAGGGTGCTGCTTCTCAGACCTTCCTATCCTCGTCCTAAGAGTGCCCATGGGTCTAGCAAGTTGTCATCTATGGTAGTCCTAGGGCAGGGACTGGGACAAGGAAATCTGAGAGCAAGATAACTCTTTTGTCACTCTACTGGGACTTCTCTGCTTGCTATCCACAGTCGAGCAAATCAGAAAGGAATATCAGGTGCCGAGTGTGATGGCATGTGCCTTCAATCCCATCACTCAGGAGTCAAGGGCAGGTCATCTCTGTGAGTTCAAGGTCTGACTGGTCTATATAGTGAGTTCCAAGGCAGCCAGGACTGCATTGAAGGACCTTGTCTCAAGAAAAAGAAAGAGAAAAGAAGAAAGAAAGGATGTTAAAAGATGGAGGGTCAGCGGGTCGGTGGTGGCGCACACCTTTAATCCCAGCACTCAGGAGACAGAGACAGGCAGAGCTCAGTGAGTTCAAGATCAGCCTGGTCTACAAAGTGAGTTTCAGGACAGGCTCCAAAGCTACAGATACAGAGAAACTCTGTCTCAAAAAAACAAGAAGGAAGGGAAGGAGGGAGGGAGGGAGGGAGGGAGGGGGGGAGGGAGAGAGAGAGAGAGAGAGAGAGAGAGAGAGAGAGAGAGAGAGAGAGAGAGAAGGTGGAGGGTCCACAAATCAGGCTGGCATGAGGGAGAATGTATAAGGAGCATGTCTGAGAAGAGCCGTGAATGCAGGCTGTGGTGACTTGATTCCTGGCTCTAACCCCAACAGCTGGCAATCCCCTTACTTGCAGAATAGGCCTGGTGTCATGCCCGCCTCCCAGGGATGAAGTGACCTGCTTGCAGGATCCCTGAGTTATGGGGAGCACTCCCTAAGTACCAGCTGCTGGATACCCCAGGCCACAGGGTTACAGTACTGGGAGAACTGGACCTGCTGCATGGCTGTCCCAGCTCTCTCAGTGGCAATTCCTGTGGGACTGTGGAACGGGGGTGACTACAGTGATGTCTGTGAGCCTGACAGTTGGTATACGGGCCTAGGATGCCGGAGAGTCGACTCTGTAGGCTGAGGGGTGACAGGTATAGACTCTGAGCCTCCCTCGCCTCCCCGACCTTCAGCCTGGCGGAAGGGTGGCGTGGAGGATGGAAACCTCCTGCTGCGCGGTGCTGCTCTGAGTCTCGGTCTACCCTCACACAACCGTGTCTTTCTTGGTAGAGGAGTGAAGAAGGAAGATAAGATCCTGGCCGTGGGGATGCAGTTCATGCTCCTGAGAGTACTGGGTAAAGAGCTTGTCCAGGGACCCTGGTGGTGGTAAAGGGCGTCCAGGTGTCTTCTGTGTGTGCAGGGCTGCATGGGGTAAGAAGATCTGACCATGCGTTTGGGGGTGTTGTGCTTTGGCCACACCAAGTCTGATGGAGGCTCCCTCCAGATCCATGCTGGAGGCCAAAGAAAGACTCCTGAGCCAAGAGACCCAGCACTCTTGTGGCTTGCATGAGCTAAGGGTGGGGAAACTGGGGCATGGTGACCCTCTGCTGCCCCCTGAGCCTCTCCTTCCCTAGCCTGGATGCCCAGTCCTGTGATCCATGGTAGTGCCATCGATACCACCTGTGTGCACTGGGCCCTGAGCTGCGGGCGACGAGCCGTCTGCCGCTACTATGACCATGACCTGCTACGAACCCGGTAAGTACGAGGTGGGACGGTCTGTGTCGGTGCACACCCACCCTGCAAACCCCAGGCTACCTCTAAGAGAGATCTCATGCGCCTGGTCTGGAACTTCCAATCCCTAATTTCCTGCCTCTGCCTCCCAAGGGCTGGGGTCACAGGCGTGCGCCACTAAACCCTGTGGTGTTTTGTTTTGTTTTGAGTCAAGACCTATTGCTATGCCTAGGCTGTTCTTGAACTCACGAGGTTGGCCAGATTGGCCTTGAATTTATGACAAACCTCCTGACTTGGCATTTCAAATGCTGGGATTTCTCATCTGAGCTACTGCACCTGGATAGCTCCCCTTATGACAACTAAAGTAAGAGGCCCCAGATTCTTATGACAGAGCCACCCCTAAGCCATCAGACAACAGAGTCACTGTGGGAACCTAGGGGAGAGAGCCCTGTTCCCTCCCTGGGGACTCAGTCTTTCTATCTGTACAATGGAGAGCTCAGAGATATCCCAAAGGTATGGATATCATAGGCTGGGAGAACTTGCAACAAGGGGGGTGGTCACCTGTAGCTCTGAGCTATGGGACACAGTTTCTGCAGGTTGGGATGACAGTCTAGGGAGGCTTTGACAACCAGGGGCCTTCAAGAGTTAAGCAGGAGAGGCCTAGCCCGGGTCATACATCTGTCAGTGACGGAGTAAGAGTAATATTTAGTCTCTCCCACACACCCAGGGTCCCTGCAGAACTTCCCCTGTCCCCCCAGATCTCAGTGTCTCTAATTGTACCATGTCTACTAACCCCACCATCCCCACCCAAGCTAAAGCCAGTCCCTGGAGAGTGGGCTCCTGAGTTCAAGTTTTCTCATTCTTCCCCCAGGTTCATCGGCCTCCAGTTCTTCTTCAAAAGTGGGTCCCTGGTGTGCTTTGCCTTAGTTGTGGCCATCTTGAGGCAGCAAAACAAAGAGACCAGCGTCAAGGCCACTGTGAAGAGCGTTGACCTACAGCAATTGTAAGCACCAGAACCAGAGCAGAAACCCAAGGATCCAGGAGGTCAACAGTTCCAACCCCACCCTGGCCAGGCATGGCAGGCACAGCCATGCATCATCTGAGCCCTTTGCCCAAGATGGGCGTCAGAAGTGCCATGCTCCAATGCTGGTTCCTCCACTAAACCGTGAAGTGACTTTGAACAAGCTTCTAACTTTGCTTGCTCTTTGGAACCAAGGAGTTGTGTTGTGCTGGCCATTGCTCCCCCAGCCAGATGACCAACCAGGAACTAAGCCTTGTTGGTGAGAACGAACTGTTCGGCATCCCCCCCCCCATCCCCATTCTAGGATAGGGAGGTGCCCCAGCTCTGCCACTCATGAAGCTCCTCTCCAAGCTTAAGTAGGAGAGGATTCTGGCTCTCGGGATCCAGCTGTGCACATCTGTGAAGGCCTCCTCCCCAAGCCCAGGCTGCCTTCAAGAAGTGTCTATTTGGCGCCCCCTGGAGGCAGATTCCAGAGACGAGATTAAGAAGAGCCCAAGAACAAGGAGAAGGATACGTACCACATTTGATGAGGCATGTAGGCAAGAACCTTAGCTGGGGTGGGAAAAGAGCTCTTTCATTCAGACTTTGCAGCTTTTGTCTTTAGGGAGCCACAGTTGGTGAAAGGAAGAAACTCCATCCTTTCCTTTAGAGGTCTTGTAACTTCAGAGACCAGTTTATATTCAGAGTTGCTCCTACTGAGTGGGCATTGTCAGGATCTCACACACTGATCAGGGGCTACCAAAGTCACTGTGGCTTTGGGGAACAGAATCCTAGACCACATCCCTGGGGATTTGTAGCTAATACCTGATTCTGTGATAGCCAAGTCGGGTTAACCTCTTGTTCTCTGAGATCAGTGCGAGGTCTAGGGGCAGAGCCCAGCTCTGCACAGTGAGCTATGGTGCAGCACTCTTGAGTCAGAATCCCTGGAATCCCCAATTCTTTTCCAAGTTAGGCTTGGTCTGGCTTTCTGACCAGTCTTATCTGTCCTAGTTGCTTCCAGGCAGTAGAAGGACAAGCCCTGATCTGCTCCCAGCCCAGTTTATTGACACCACACTGCCCCCACCATGTGGCCATGAAGAGAGGGGAAAAGGAGCTAGCAGTAGCCCCTACCCTTGTGCCTAGCTCTTAGCTGGAGGACAAGGTACTTGTCGCCTGTGCAGAAGGGACTATAGAAGCCCTCATCTGTGACCAAGCATTGGGAGACAAGAAGATCAGGAGTTCAAGGCCATTCTCAGCTACATAGTGAGTTTGAGTCTAACCTGGGCTACATGAGAATGTCTCAAAAAAATCCAAAAGGAATAAAGAGAAGAAGAGAAGAGAAGAAGAGAAAAGGGAGGAGGAGGAGAAGAGAAAGAAGAAGAGCCTAGTCACTATTTTATCCTGCAGTTGAGTGTTTAACCAGTATCTGAGCCTACACTAATCAGTGCCAAGGATTTTGAAGTCTCTGCCACCAAGACAAGTCTGTTAGCAGGTTTTCATTCTGTTGTTTCTCCTGCTCCCCGGGTCGTACAGGAATAATCTGGCCATATACATACAGCTTATTATTAAATTTGTCTTCGCAGAGTGCCTCTTCCAAGACAAGAATTTATCCTTCTAAACTGCATTAGAGGTTGGCGTCAGCCATGCCTCTTCCAATTATTTAGAGTTCAGCCTCGTGCAGTTTATTCTCTCTGGCATCTTGCATTGTTTTCTCTCTTTATATTCTGGCCTGATTTTCCCTTTGGCTGGTTTATCTCCTCCAGTAATGGTTTCAAAAATGGGATACAATCATGAGGCTGTCCGAGTCCTCACCTGTCTCCGTCATCACTCACGTCTTACAGAAGGGAAACCACCTCAGAAAGGCCAAGCGATTTGCTTGGGGCCATGATAATACATATATAATTATATGATTAGATACATACGCACATACATACACACATACATAAATAAGGGTGGGGCCAGAGCTGGATCCATATTTGTGGAAACCGAAGCTAACACAACTCAAGAGTTCTCTTTATAAAAGGCAAAAAGAAAGGAAGGAAGGAAGGAAGGAAGGAAGGAAGGAAGGAAGGAAGGAAGAAAATAATGAATGCAACTTAACCATGTAGGCTGTGTCTCCTTAAAATGCCTGAGACCAGAGTATTTTGGATTTGAGATCTTTCCATATTTTGAAATATTTGCACCATTATCATAGAATCTCTCAGGAATGAGGACCCTAATCTAAACACAAATTCATCTTGGTTTCGTGCACACAGCCTCAAAGTCATTTTAGCAATACATTTAGAGCTCCCGTGTGTGATGAAGACCCTGAAATCGGGTCGGAAATGTTCCATACATGCAGTTACTTTAGCACTCAGGAAGTTTGGGTGTTAGAGCCTTTCAGATGGTGGGTTTCATGTTGGGAAGTCAGCCTTTACAAAAGTAAACATGTACCCAGAATGGGGAAAAGACCCACTCCATCCAGAAAAACAGCGTATTTTTTTTTAATCAAATAATCCCCATGCATGCCTGTAATCCATCCGAACACACCTTCATGGTTAGTATTCTCCACAGACTGGCTTCAGGCTTCATACACATTCATATTTCTCCATTTATTCCTCCACTCCTTTTATGTTTGCAGGGCCACAAGCCATAAACAGAAGCCACGCCCTCAGTGTTTGCCTCTTCAACGTCATAATGCCGAGTGGGGTGGGCAGTGGCTGGGGAGTTCCCCAGAAGCCACTCTCTGCAGAGACGGCTGCTGTGACTTCCCTAGGCATAGCAGTAACTGGGGTGGACATACATACATCTTGGGTACCCCCATCTCCTCCTTGCCCAGGTCTTGGCAGCTAGAAGCCACTTGCTGAGCCACAGAGAGGCTGGAGCAAGAAGAAGTGGTTCAAGTGTCTTCCCCTTGTACATTTCCCACACTGAGAAAAAGCGGCATTTCTTGCATGCCTCACTGGGTCTGAGGAGCAGCCCAGATGCCCACCAAATATTCACCTCCCTGGAAGCTGGCCTCTGGGGGACCTGAGGGATGGAAATTAAGCTTCATCCCACTAGGACTTGGCCCTTGGGGAAGATGAGAGCTGGGAACCACACCTTTGTCCATGAGTTTAAATTCTTCTGCTAGTCAGGTGAGAAGACCTAGGCATCCCTGCAGGAGAGATGTGCCAGCCACGTGCCAAGAGTAAAGCAAGTAAGACAAAAGAAGCTTGTCCAAGCTGTGAAAGAAAATGCATACACACAAACACACAAGTATAAGCGCATGCACATGGCACAGACATACACATACATAGGCATATCCTCCTTACACACATATATACAGCCAAAAGCACATCCATGCAAACATGTATGCATACACAGAAACATAAAAACTTGCAAGCACCTTTATACACTCATAATTTGTACCCACTTATACACACATAATAATTTACATGATCATGTGCACACATACATGTACATTCACCTATGTGGTGACACACAGACACAGATCCTCACACATGTGCATATACTCACAAAATACAAACATGAACAGACACAGAAGCTACTCATTCTCACACACATGTGTGCATATGTACACATGCCCACACATACTCCATACACTCGCATGCACACTTACAGACACACAACCTCACACATACAGACAGACATAATCACATGTACACACTCATTCACTCATCAACTCACACTTAGAGTGAAATGCATACTATTCATGCACACATGCAGACTATGCACAACAAACATACACAAAAATGCACACTCACACATTCACATGATCATATATACACACACAGACATAGTCATATATATACACACAGGCACACATACAAATCCGTACACATATACACACATGCACGCCTACAAACTCATGATGTCCACAAAGTCCAACAAACACATAAACATACACTCAGTCTCCTGTCAACGAAGAGCCGTGAGCATCTGTATCTGTGCGTCTCTCTGCCCTGCACTAGGCCCTACCCTGCTTCACTGCTGGTGAAGGCCCAGGAGCAGATGGGACAGACACCAGTGCCTAACTTCCAGTTCCTTCTGCTTAGAGAAGCTGGGAAGCTCCAGGACAGGCAGATGCCTCTGGGGATCCGGCTCCAGGAGCCATGGTTGGCTCACTACACGCTCACCATTCATTACCTGCACGTGTTGAACATTTCCCCTTGATACACCAGCTGCCCTCTCTGTCCCTCTCTCCACCTCTCTTCATGAAGTCCTATCCTCTATCAAGGCCCAGTTCAAAAGCCTCTACCTCCAGGGAGGCCGTAGGGCGTGGAGATAAAGGGGTAAGTCGGGGAAGTAGCCTTATTAAAGTTGCAAATGACATTTTAAAAAATAAAATTATAAACCAAGCCAGGTGTAGGGTGTATGGCTGTAATCCTATCAATCACTCAGGAGACAGAGGCGAGAGGATGGTGAGTTTGAGGGCAGCCTGGGCTACAAGGTGAAACCTTGTCTAAAAGCCCAAAATAAATAAAATTCACCACCGCTCCTCTCCCCCCACACAAAGATGACAGCTGTGTGTAACTTCAGAGGTGCCGGGAGCCCTCTCGAGTCCTGTACAGTCTTCCTAGAGACCAGCATCCCAGGCCAAAGCCCTTCATATTGGAGCTGCAGAGACATCAGACTTCATCTCAGACCATGTAGTCGTAGGGGGACCCTGAACAACTGACCACATCCCTCGGCACCCAGCTCCACCTGTAAGGCGGGCAGATCCATTCCCCATGATGGCGGAGACAGATAAGGTACCATCTTGAGCTCACAGGCTCAGCACCTGATAATCTGAAGTGTTCCCTTCTCTTTTCCTGCCTCTGAGAGGATTTAATACGCACCTGGTGCAGAGCGAGGAAGGCGGAGGAGACAGGAGGCTCACCCCCTATGCTCTGCCCTGGCTGCAGCTCCCTTGCTCCCTCCCTAATCTCTTCCCCACTGTCAGTGCGAGTTCAGCTGGCCCAGTCTTATCTCTCCCCACAGCTAGCTTGGGACAGCTTTTCACCTCCAGATTTACATTTTTATTGATTTTGTTTTCTCCCTCCAGGGCTTCACTTCCCTTCTGCCTCCCCTTTGGCTATAAAATGGGTCTACTGTGGGACCTAACAGTTCTGGGGTCAGCAGAGGCGTGTGGTGGCTCAAGCACGGCTTCAGCCCCAATCACTTACTCAATCAGCAACCCACTCAACCAATACATCCCACCTGCATCTAGGTCACGTGTCCAACATAGGCTGCTCTTAGGAAAGCTGAGGGTGCATGGGTGCAGGGACAATCAGAAGGCTTTGGATGCCTTCCTGGAGGGCAAGGAGGAGCCCTTGAAACATTGATTGATGGATTATTCCATTGACTGGTTATTTTAAGCAGGGAATAACAAGATGTATTTTAGAAAGGGCCACGGACTGCACTGTGGGGGCTCCGGGTGGGAGAGGGAAGCTGAAAATTTGGCGCTTAGGCAAGAGGCTAGAGCGATAATCAGGAGAAGGGCCTCGAGCCACGTCAGAAGCGGCACCCTAGAAGTGGAACAGCCAGGCTGGGTTTTGAAAGATGAGCAGGGTACTGGGGAAGGGTGCCGGGCGGGCGGAAGAGCTGTGGAGATAAGGGAAAGGCAGGCAGAAAGCTCCTGGCAGGCTGAGGAAATTTCCACTCATTCTGAATGGCTCAGCGTGACCTAAAAGGGCAGCGAGGGGCAGAAGCAGAAGAAATGGGTCAGGGCCCTCAGTTTTTGCTCAAGCCCTCTGTCCCCTGAACCTGGACTCAGGCGGAAGTAGGAGGACATGGAGGCAGCTGGGCTGGACTCCGAGCTCCAGGTCAAAGTGCTCCTTTCTTAAAAACAAACCTTCCATATCCACAACTCTGCAACTGTTCTGTAGAAAGGAAGGCAGACACGGGTCGTTCTTCCCTTGGAATAGATAAAGCAGCTGAGGGCCCTAGAGGGCAGAGATTTGTTAAGTGGAACATCAGGACACACATCTGTTTATCCCCGCATTTAGAAGGTGAAGGCAGGAGGGTCAGAAGTTCAAGTATGAGGCCAGCCTGAGCTGAATGAGACCCTGTCTCCAAGTATGCAGCAAAGAAAAACTGAGGTGGGGGGAGAAGGGACGGAGAAAGAGACAGAGACAGACATACATACATACAGAGAGAGAGAGAGAGAGAGAGAGAGAGAGAGAGAGAGAGAGAGAGAGAGAGAGAAACAGAGAGAGAGAGAGAGAGAGAGAGAGAGAGAGAGAGAGAGAGAGAGAGAGAGAGAGCTGAAGAGATGGATCAGCAGTTGTTAAGAATGCTTGCTACTCTCCCAGAGGACACAAGTTCTGTGCCACATTTGGTGGCTCAGGACTGCCTGTAAGTCCAGCTCCAGGGAATCTGACACCCTCTTGTGGTCTCCTCAGGCACTTGCACACACGTGTACACACAATACACATATACATCAATAAAAATAAAAGAAAAAGATTTTAAAGAAAAGAAGTGCAGAGGTTTGTAACAGGTCATTTAGAAGCCCAGGTACCCCATCTTCAAATCCCCGTGTGTGTTTTGAATCCTACATCCTCAGTAAGTGAGATGGAAAATAAGGAGAAGGAGGGAAAAACATACCAAACAGAGTTGGGTTT